ATGTATGTATGTATGTATGTATGTATGTATGTATGTATGTCAGTCAAATAAATTTAACAAACAAATATTATTGTAGCATAACTGAGATTCATTCCCATATCAGATTCAGCTTATTCCAGAACCCACATGGACACTCATTTATAATCTTTCCTACCTCCAAATATTCCTTATTGATAATAGAACAATAGTGGAATGACATTCTGGGAGAGGCAGTTACAGCTTGGCAACTGCCTTGTGAATTAATGGTAAAACATACTGTATGGTAGACTGAAGATAAGCAATATTATAAATGGATCACAATCAGATTGGTCCTAATTGTAATTTATTTTACACTCTTCTGAACTGCTATGTTCAAAACCTGGGGAGTCAAGCAGTCCCATATTTGCACAGGCAAAGTAATTTGTTTTAATCCCAGTGATTTTTATTTTTGTGTGCTCTGATTTCATTTCATTTTTCATTGAATCCTGGATGCTTTGAATTTTTCTGATTAAGCCGTTGATCTTTCCAGCCTGTTTTATAGTTGTCCTCTGAGAAGTATTTGGGGTCTACAATTCTGGCATTCTACAACTTTAATAAAATATGATTTTGAGGCAATCATATATTTATAATGAATAATTTTAGTCAGTTTTATGAAACTGAGTTGTTTATCTTACTTTGTATATACCACCTTGAGACATGTGAATGGTTGGCATGAAAATGTTAAAGAAATAAATATATTTAGAACTTTAATATGAGAAAAGTATGGAGAATTTAGCCATGAAATATTTGAACCACTCAATCTCACTAATTTAATTAAGATTAATGTATATTCATACTAGGATAGAGATGCCAAATGAAAGATGCCAAATTGCATCTAGACAAAGATGTGAATTGGATCATGACTTTTAGCATATCTAGTTTTTAAAATATTTATAATTACATTGTTAATCATAATCAACAGCACAAAATTACAATTTCTATTCCATTCCTCCAGTGTTCCAGAAGATGATTTTCTAGCTTCTTCAGAGTTTTGCCCTTAGCCATCCAAACTTGCTTCCAGGAACTGAGAGCAGCTCTAGGAAAGGGAATGGGAGAAAGATGGGGATAATATCAAAATGGTGGAGTAGGGGAGGCCACTGAGTCCTTCCCCTTTTTCAGTGCAAGTATTCAAATTGACACAACCACTAGGAATGACTGCCTAGCCGTCTCTTGAACACATCTGGAGAAGAAAAGCCACTCTCTAGGGTCAGCGGTCCCCTCTGGCCAGCCGTTCATGTGGCCCAATTTCTAATAGGCCATGGCCTAATAGTGGGCTGCAGCCTGGGGTTGGGGACCCCTGTTCTAGGTAAACATAAAGCAGCTGTTTTTTTCTGATTCAGAACCTGCCTGCCTCTAACTTAAAACTATTATTTTCTATCTTGCACTTCAGAGCAATAGGGAACAGACAAGAGATGGTAGCAAGTGACACAAAATATATCACAATGTTGTGATGGAAACCCCATTCCTGGCACATTTGCATGTGACATAGCAAAACTTGCATTATGATGTCACAATGGACATGTTATCTCTTGAGATGACTCTTCTGAGAACAGGCTCTAACCCATTATTTGATGAATACTGTCATATCTTCCCTTCAGCCTTTTCATTTCAAAGCTAAAAATTCCTTTAATCTCTTTTCCTAGTATCTAACTTTCTGTTCATTAATGTTCTTCATGAACAACCAGTTTACCAATTCTTTTTTCTTCCTGTTATTTTTAATGTATCCTGTTTATCTTGTTTATTTCCTATACTCTGAGGACTAGGACATAACCTTGCATTGAAATAAGATTTATTACTCATTATAAGATGCATCTTATTCTGTGTCAGCTGACATTCATTGGACTGTTAAGAACCATGTTCCTAGAAATCAAATCTGTCCTCCTGACACAATTCACTTGCAGGATTATTTTTGTCTCACTTTATGCACATTATTCTTTCTCTTTCTAGACTTCTTGGAATTAGAGGAATAGATGACTAGGCCTCCAGAATTCCCAGTTTCTTGGTGTTCTTCAAAGGCTTGATTACTTTACATATAAATGTGGGGTGAAAATTCCATCGAATTTAGAGATCAATATGATGTTAATATTAATAGCAGCAGGATATTTTCTGTAATAAAGTGAAATGGTAACAATAAATTATGCAATTAATATATTTCTAGGATCCAAACAGATTACATTATGATCCTGCTGAGCTCAAGTTATTTGAGAACATAGAATGTGAATGGCCTGTATTCTGGACATATTTTCTAATTGATGGAGTGTTCAATGATGACAGAATTCAGGTGGGTAAAATAAAACATTTTGGATCAACTTTAGCATTTGTTGTATTGCTGCTAGAATTTTTCTGGATGAAGGGATAGTAGAAGGATGGTATCTAAATATGTGTGCTTGCGTGTGCACGTTTACACACACAGACATACACCATTTCTACCCCACACACCTGAGTGAGGCCAGGTTTGGTTTCTATATGCTGGAAAAGAGTTGATTTAGGTGGTCTAGTCTAAAAAAATCAAGAGAAATCCTCTGCAAGTGAAAAAATATCAACATATTATGCAGCAGAAACTCTTGCCCTGAGTTTTTAAATGCAGCAAGCCTAAATGTCATCATTTTACACTGAAATGCTTCTTTTCTGGTTTTGTTGTAAAGCCAGACCCTTTGCTCTCTTAAATCTGGCTCAACATTGATGAGGACTTATAAAGTCAAAGCAATCTTCTTTGACAATCAACAGGTCAACATTCTCACTACTAGAATGTGCTCAGGAGAATAACTGTTTCTGCACTGTTTAGATTCCCCCCCCTTTTATTTGAACACAGTTCTTTATTTATTGGATTACATGTTTGACTATCTCAACATTTTATTTTCCTTTTGTTCACTTCGTTTCCCTTTTGTCTCCTAGAAATTGGAGCCTGCATTATAAAAGTCTTTTGTATTTCCTAGGTGCAGGAATACAGAGAAGCCTTGGAAGGGATCCTTATTAGAAAAAAGAATGGAATTCTTCTGATGCCAGAACTGTATGCAGTTCCTCCAGATAAGGTCTTTCTACCAAATTATCTTAATCTGGAAAGAATTCGCTTATGACCGGGATGGCGAACCTATGGCACGCGTGCCACCTTATGACCGGGATGGCGAACCTATGGCACGGAGCCATTTGTCAGGGCACGCGAGGCGCTGCCCTGTCAGCTGGCCAGCGCGCGCTGAGTTGACCCTTTTTTAAATCCATTTTTCGCCCTCCCCAGGCTCCAGAGGTTTTATAGGAGCCTGTGGAGGGTGAAAAGAGCCTCCCCCACACACACCCCCAAGGCCCTCCGGATGCTTCATGAGCTTCCCTGAAGCCTCCGGAGGACAAAAAACTGGCCCTAAGGGCAAACTGGCAGTTCAGGAACGGACTTCCAGTTTGCTCGGAGGGTCGTTTTGAGCGCTCCAAAGGCTTCAGGGAAGCCTCCTGAAGGTCCCTGAAGCCTTTGAAGCACTCAAAACGACCCTCCGAACAAACCGTAAGTGACTTCCAGTTTGCTCGGAGGGTCGTTTTGACTGCTCCGGAGGCTTCAGGGAAGCTTCCTGAAGGTCCCTGAAGTCTCTGGAGGGCCTCCAGGGGGCGGGGGAGGCTGTTTTCGCTCTCCCCAGGCTCATATAAAGCCTCTGGAGCCTGGGGAGGGCAAAAAAAGCATGCAAAAAATGGGAGCGCCTGTAGTGCATGCATGCGTACTGGGGGGGGGTTGTTCATTATGGGTGCGGCACTCCCACACACGACCCCCCTGCGCTCCCCCCACTTATGGTACGCAAGCCAAAAAAGGTTCACTATCGCTGGCGTATGATATAAAATGTTCTTCCCTGATTTATATAAATCTGATCCAAATTTATCAAGTGAACTTTTGTGGATATAACAGAGATGAAGCCCCACTGCAGTTTGTGGCTTCGAATGATTTTACCCTCCAAATAATTGTTTTTTCCCCTACTGAATATGAGCCTGAATATCATATGCTCTATAAAATTGGGGAAAAAATAAATTGTGGATAGATTAACATTTCCATAGATAGATTAGTGTATTTTACACCTTATACCAAATAACTTTTACATGTTGTTTCTTTATTCATTTATTTGAAGCAAAGAATATTTTAAAAGTACTTGTCAATAGAGTATTGTGCTGTAAATCTAGTTTTTTACAGGTGTCTATTCTAAAACCTGCTTGCAATTGCCAAATAAACTCTTGCTAAAAGAGAAGAGACTTTCTAGATTTTAATCACTGAGCATCTCAAGTTGTGAATAAATTCACATGAATCAGTGCTCATTCACTGTTTGGTTTTCCAGGTGAGTGAAGAATATGAAAATCCTCACACGGTGGATCGTGTTCAAGCAGGGAAACTTCCTCATCTTTGGGGCCAGTCATTATATATTCTTTCTGCCCTCCTAGCAGAGGTAAGTTGTCTTTTATATAATTTGTCTGGGTTTTTTTGTAAAGCTCTGTTTTCCAAAACTTTCTTTCCCTTTTGTCCTTTTTTTGCGAATTGTACATGGTTTACTTGTCACCTGATCTAGTTCTTAATGAATTTGTTATATTTCTGAAGTTCCCATGCTAGTCGTTAACACTATTATCACCACTGAAATCTCATTTCTTCCTTTCTTTCATTTTAGGGATTTTTGGCTACTGGTGAAATTGATCCATTAAACAGAAGGTTTTCAACCACTTTTAAGCCTGATGTGGTTGTTCAAGGTTGGTGATTATCCATTTGAAATTTTTAACTGTGTAGAGAAAGGTGGAGAGGAAAGTGAAATAAATAGAAGGCTGTCACTTCTACCCATGAAGTGTTCTAACAAATATATAGAAGGGTAGTGGCTACTAGCAAAATATGTCACTAAGTCTTAGGTGGTTGCTGAGATAAGTGCTGCTGCCGTTCAGCTATCAAAATGTGTGACAATTATATTTTCCTAATTATCACATTCCATGTATCTATTGATTCCTCATGGCATCCACATGTCGGGTTCTTAACTGTTCCTTTTAGTAGATATTTCAGAACATTGTGAATACAGGTAGTTCTCCACTTACGACACAATTAAGCCCAAAATTTATGTTAAGTGAGATGTTTAAATGAATTTTATCCCATTTTATGACATTTCTTGCCACAGTTGTTAAGTGAATCACTGCAGTTGATAAGTTAGTAACCTCATAGTTAAGTGAATCTGGCTGCCCCATTGACTTTGCTTATCAGAAGATTGTAAAAGGTTATCACATGAGCCCAGGATGCTGCAATGGTCTTCAGTATGAAACCTGCAGAACTTTTGGATGCCGTCACAATTTCTGTCACTTTGTTGGGAAAAATATAGAAAGAAAAATGTGGAATTCTTTCATAGGGACATATATTCCCTGAACCGTAGCATTGAATAAAACTATATTTTTAAGGAAATTCATTTTTATCAAATACAAAAAGACATTCTTAAAGAGTCATGATCAAATTACTTTGATCATGGTTTAAAATATATTTTTAGCAATTTTATGTCACCTCATTCCAAGAATCACTTCATTGTAGCTCAAATGGTAGTTTAAGTCATCAGTAGAAATAAAGTTTGAAACATTTTACTGTTTATTAAATTTATCTGAGGTCAGAGCTGTTTCTTAGTACTAATTATGAAATTCAGTCACGTTATATTGTACCTTCCCAAATCTCTGAGACAGCAAATCCATATGTGTAGCAATTAAATCATAGTCATTAATAATATTTAGAATTCATGTTGAACCTAAGTTGTTCAGAAATGCCTATTATTTAGATCTTTTTTCAAATATTGGGGGGAAATTTTTAGAAGACTTTTTATAGCTTTATAAAGCTTTTGTTTTATTAACTTTGTAAAGTCAATTCTGGATTGAAGCTTCAGAGAATAAAGACAAAAATGGGTATCAATCTGGTAAAAAATGACCACTAGTTTTAGCTACTTTGGTTATAAAATGGCTTCATAAGGATTCAGAGAAAGCATTTCAGACCTTGTACAAGCTGCTGTTCATTAAAGTAGATCTCGCTCAGATTTAGACATGGGATTGAAAGAAGGTATTGCTCCTTTAAAAATTGTTATAGTTTTAATGAATGAATTCTTTACAGTAACAGCAGCCGCTTGTTTTCAACCTTGTACAAAAGTCAGGAGGTAAATCAGGTTATTTTGACACATAGCAAAGTCAGGGTTATAGGACCAAGATATAGTCACAGACTATAGATTTTCCTGTTTGTATGAGGGTGCAGTGCCAACCCAAGACAAAAGCAGCAGGGCTTCACTCAGTTGTATACTGAACCTTCTGGGGAATTTTTAAGCCCACTTCCTCAGATGTTCCTATTGTATAATTTTTAGTACCTACCTTATGTAATCCAAAATTTCGGAAAAGGTGAGGTACTGTACAAGATTGTGGTTTGTGAAGCCCCTCTCCTTGAAACATTAAAGCAGCTGCATTCTTGGACACTTAACAACTTGGGCAAAAGGTATCCCTGACTGTTTGTGCTTGCAGGTGTCTATTTGCATTACTGGCTGTGCTAGACATGATGTTATCGGGATACACACATGCACCAAAGTACACAAAGAACCAGAGACAACCTTATAGCAGCTAACAAATAGAGAAGAGGCACTGTGCCTATTCTAGCATGCTTTATAATAAGACTATTCGGAATGCTTAGTACAAACCTAGTAAAGTATCATTCTAGTAGGCAATCATCTCCATTTATTTGAACTTGTCCAATACTAATTCAATGAAAAAGTCTTATTTTTCACTGAAGATCCTCTTTGATTGTACTCTATTCACAGAAAAATAAAAGTAATTGTCATCCTTGATTGTGGTTCTTCATTTTGTTTTTTGAATAGTAACCGTTCTAGCAGAAACAAATGAAATTAAGAAACTCTTACGACATCATGGAATTAATGTACAAAGCATTGTTGACCTCAGTCCCACCAGAGTGCAGCCCTCTCGGATTCTGAGTAATCTTTATGCTAAGCTTGGTAGGTGCTATTTAAAAAATAGCCGAGTAATCTTATTGGACTTTTTCAGCATTGTGCCACTGAGACATTTTTAATAAATTTTAATGAGTATTTATCAGTAAGCTAGTTTACTAGCAGTATTGGTTTATAAAGTGCAGTTTTCAATGTAAGAAGCACATTTGCATGTTTTTAGAACCCAATTGTACTCTCATATTAAAGNTACCCGAAGGCCAGACAAGAAACATTGGATGGAAAATGATCAAGGAGAGATTTAATTTAGAAATAACGATAAATTTTCTGGCAGTGAGAAGCAATGAAATAGCTTGCCTTCAGAAGTTGTGGGTGCTTCATCACTGGAGGCTTTCAAGAGACTGGACAGCCACAATCAGAAATGGTATAGGGCCGGGATGGCGAACCTATGGCACACATGCCACATGTGGCACATGGAGCCATTTGTCAGGGCATGCATGTGCGCACTGGCCAGCTGAGTTCAGCCTTTTTTAAAGCCATTTTTCGCTCTCCCAAGCTCTAGAGGCTTTATAGGAGCCTGGGGAGGGCGAAAACAGCCTCCCCGCCCCCCCAAAGGCTCCGGAGGGCTTAAACTGGCCCTACGAGCAAACGAAAAAAGCTAAAAAAGCATGCAAAAAATGTAGGAGGAGCGCCTGTCATGCGTGCATGCGCGCTGGGGGGTGTTGCATATTGCATTATGGGTGCGGCACGCCCACATGACCACCTTGCGCTCCCCTGCTTATGGCACGCGAACCAAAAAGGGTTCGCCATCGCTGGTATAGGGTCTCCTGCTTGAGCAGGAGGTTGGACTAAATGATATACAAGGTCCCTTCCAACTCCGTTATTTTATTCTATGGAATGCACAGTTTATGGCATGTTTTTCAACTTTCAATTTCCAAACAATAGGGGTGTTCAAAAGTTATGACATGGCTTGGGGATTGTAAAGATATTTTGGTTACTTTAATATAATTTAGATGTGCTTGCTAAGTAACTATATAAATACCACAACTTTTTAATATTTTGTTTGTGTATATACATTTACAAATTGCATAGGTAATTGAATGAAGTTCCTGATGATCATGGTTTTCAGTCAATTGATAAGGGTCCTATGCTGTTGCTTGAGGAATCAAGCATGGATGTATTGGAAGATAATTTTTGGGAGACTGTCTTGTTCATAACAATTTAGAATCTAAACTAGCACTATTTCTACATCTGATAATATACTTTGGAATGAAACTAATGGTTTTTGTTTTATCTTTGTTTTTCTTGTTTTTTAATGCTGCTCAGTCTATTCTATACTCCATGTTACCAAGGGCATCCACATCAAAAGAGATTGATGCTGGCCTTTTGTCCATTATTTCTTATCCAGCCTTTGCCATAGAAGATATGAACATTGTTAATGCGACGAAAAATGAAATTATCACCAAGTTGCAAGTATGTCTTTAATTTTAAAATAAGTCTTTGATTAATTTCTTTTTCAGCAATATATTCAATCGTACTTATTATGAAAGAATAAGTTTCATTTGGTATGATTAAGAATAGTAGTTTATATAAAACCATTCTTGTATCATAAACACTTTATATCTTTACAGGGGCGTTATGGCTGCTGTCGTTTCCTCCGAGATGGCTATAAAACACCAAGAGAGGTTTGCTAAAACTTTCCAAACTTTACAACTTAAATAATAAATAACAATGTTATGTCAGTTTTACATGGACTGTGACTAGCATTCGAATAAACATTAAACATTGGAATATTATAAGATGTTAGTACAGATTTAGCAACAAATAAGCAGGGTCAAATAAACAGGGGCAAGAGATCCCATTTTAAAATTTCAGTGCCATTGCTGGTATTTGTCTTGTTGAAATTAGGATTGAATGAAAGTTAGGTTTCTAGGAGAAGTGGCTCACATTTCTCATTCAAGGAGTTTGATTTCTTACTCAATGAACAAAGGACAAATACTAAGAAATCTGTTGCCAGTTCCTTAGTAAAATCATAAAAATTCCAGAACTGTATAGAGTGCCATAATGCTAAACAATCACTGCTGTAATCAGTACATTACAATTTATCTCCAATATTTGTTCATGTGTTTCTGTAGTGTTCACTCTGTGCCAGAAATTCCAATAAAACAGAGCTCAGCTGCTCTGCACTGAAATGTATTGAATAAAAAAATTCTTAATTCTGTTTGATGAAGCCCAAATAGGAAATTTTAATTCTCTTGGGGGGGGGGGGAAATGTATGTATGTATGTATGTATGTATGTATGTATGTATGTATGTCAGTCAAATAAATNTAGTTTCCGAAGTGAGGCGTGGGAGGAGTCACACATGGGTATTAACCCAGCCCTTTTGCCCTGGAGATTGAGGTAAATCTTGAGGCCACACCTCCATTCCTCCTTCTGACCTCCCAGATTAACCTCAGTCTCTGGCCCAGAAGGAGTGTTTTTCCTGACTCTCCCTCACTTCGTAGACTTAGGAATTTTTTTTCCAGGATTTTTTGTTTTAGCTTCTCACCTTTTGGATTGCTGCACCCTCCTTCTTCGTGCTCCACGCGCCTAGCGTTCCAAGCCTCACTGCTTGCTAGCACGTTCCCCTGGCGGCCAGACGGTCGCGTAAGGGGGGAAGCAGTCTCTGAGCCGCATGGCTCACCCGAGCAGCTACAAATGATCCAGAAGACCCCTGCAGGCAACGGAGGACAGAAGGCCCTGCAGGATCATCTCTCGTCGTTCTCAAGCCCCAGAGGAGATCGGGCCACAGATCGGCGGCCGCCATCTTCAGATCTGCCATCTTGGAGCACGTGAGTGAGCGCGTGGCCGGCAGACCTTCTACGGTCGCCGAGAGCGCTCAAGAAGCATCGAGGAGGCCGGAAGAGGCCTAGAGTGGCCTCCATTCTGCTGGTGATCCGCAGAGGGGCCTGGATTTTTGGTGCGTGCTGGCACTCGAGCCGTAGGTCGACGGCTGGGGAAGGAAGCGCGAGCTACAAGAGCAACGCGCAAAGCAGCTAAGCCGGCAGAGAGTGAGGAGGGGGTGATCGGCAGAATCATAAGTTGGATGGCGGAGGCGGCGAGGAGTGGGGGTGCTGGGCCTAGATCCCTAGGGGACTCAGACCCATGCGAGGGGACCTTTAGAGGAGCTTCCCAGGTCACCAGAGGGAGGTCCCCCGCCAAGAGAAGCACCCCCAGGGCATCCAGGAAGGAGACCCATGCTAAAGGGGGTAGAGTTAGCAGGGCCTCCACAAGAAGATTTAGGGCTACCATCAGCCCTTCCCCTTCCAGGTCACGCTCCCCCCGCAGGCTGCCTACACTGGTAGAGGCCCAGGTGCCCCTCCCTGGCTCTCCTAGGAGCCCAGACAGAGGGCCCAGTTCTTTATCACCCCCCCCTTTCGCCTGCCCATCCATCTGAGACTAGGGGTGATCCCTTTGGGTGCAGGGTTCCCAGCCCTGCAAGGCACAGGCTGGCACTGCAATCCCCAGAGGCAAGGGACTTCTCACAGCCTCCAGAGCTCTGTCCCTCCCTCTCACAGCTCCCTGATAGCTTTCAGGAGGTTTTAGCCAGGGCCATAGCTCAAGGGATTGCTTCTGAGATGAAACATCAGTCCCAGGGCTCTAAACATAGGTCTTCCCGGGACCAGCCCAGGGATCACCAGCCGTTCCAGAGTCTCTGCTACCAGAGAGCCCAGGTATCTCCCTCCCCCTCCACGGCCAGTGAGGCTTCAGATTTAGAGGAAGGGGAGTTGAAGGAGGTGGGGTTTTATGAGGATGAGGATGCCCAGGCCCTGAAGTTTTTTTTTAGCGTTGCTAAACATAATAGTTCAACGACAGAAAAAAAGGGGGCATAAAAGTGCATTTAGCACATTTTTCTTAGAATAATTAGCTGAACTCTGCCTTGTTTATCATTATTTTAGGTAGTAAAACTTCATTATTCGGGTTAAATTGCCATGTTGGCACTTTGCGATAAATAAGTGGGTTTTAGGTTGCAGTTTGGGCACTTGCTGCCAAAAAGGTTCCCCACCACTGCCCTAGACCAACACTCTGGCTCAAGTTGTAGAGATCTCAGTAGACTTGAACATTGGGCCCTATTGAACAAAGTGAAATTCAATGTAGAGAAAAGTAAAGTCTTACTCTTAGGCAAGAAAAAACAAAAATACGCATACAGATTAGGTAAAACCTGGTTTAATAGCAGTAACTATGAGAGATCTTGGAATCCTTGTGGACAACCAATTAAAAATGTAGTGTGCAGCAACAGACAAAAAGCCAATGCAATCCTAAATTGCATTAACAAAAGGGATTGAAGCAAGATCACATGAGGTACTAGTACCACTCCCTAAAGCCTTAGTAAGAACATACCTAGAATACTGCATCCAGTTTTGGTCACCACACAATGAAAAAGATGTTGAGGCTCTAGAAAGAGTGTGGAAAAGAGCAAGAAAGATGATTAGGGGCCTTGAAACTAAAACATATAAAGAATGGTTACAAGAACTGGGCATGGCTAGTCTAGTGAAGAGATGGACGTGGGGTGACCTGATAGCAGTGTTCCAACATTTGAAGGGCTGTCACAGAGAAGAGGGGAACAATCTATTTTCCAAAGTACCCGAAGGCCAGACAAGAAACATTGGATGGAAAATGATCAAGGAGAGATTTAATTTAGAAATAACGATAAATTTTCTGGCAGTGAGAAGCAATGAAATAGCTTGCCTTCAGAAGTTGTGGGTGCTTCATCACTGGAGGCTTTCAAGAGACTGGACAGCCACAATCAGAAATGGTATAGGGCCGGGATGGCGAACCTATGGCACACATGCCACATGTGGCACATGGAGCCATTTGTCAGGGCNAGGAATTATTGCATTATGCATTATGGTGCAATGGTTAGAATGCAGTACTGTAAGCCATTTCTGCTGATTGCAGTTCGGTAATTTGATTCTCACTGACTCAAGGTTGACTCAGTCTTCCATCTTCCCGAGGTCGGTAAAATGAGGATTCAGACTGTTGGGGGCAGTATGCTGACTTTGTAAACCGCTTAGAGAGGGCTATAAAGCACTATGAAGCAGTATATACGTCTAAGTGCTATTGCTATTCCCTGTGATAATAAATGTGTTTTTTTGTATTGTTAAAAAAGCAGGGTTCGCCCATCATGTTAAGCTATCATATAGTTTGTCTGATTTTCGATTGGCATCAATGGCAGGGAAGGGGCAGTCAAACAAGTTTCAAAATGACAAGAGACAATGTGGCAGGGCAATGGAAGGCTCATCTCTTTTCTAGATGTGTTAAATATAAAGCAGAAGCCATAGTTGCTATTTTTGTGAGAATAATAAAGCAACATCGAGATATTGGATCAGAAAACTTACGAGTTGAAGAGTTGAACTCCAGGTGCCCTTACTATATAATCTCACAATTATTCTATCTATACAATTTAACACTAAGTAATCTTTCGTTACAGTGTTGATTTCAGTTTATAATTTTGAGCAAATTGGAGAAACTGTAACTCAGTGTTTCTCAATCTTAGCAACTTTTAAGATGTGTGGATTTCAATTCCCTAGCCAACATGCTAGAATTTTGAGAGCAGACAGTTTCCAAGATTGAGAAACACTGTTGTAGCTTATAGCTTATGTGTGAACTAAGCTATTATTACTTGTAAAGTAAACCACAATTAAATTATAGATTAGCATCCATCTTTTGTCTAACATATCCCCAGCTGTGAAGGATACAGCCAAACTTGCTTAAAGTACCAGAATATAGATATGAAACTTAGTTTGAATTGCATAACAATGTACAATATACAGAGTCCATCTGTGATAAGAGATGGGCATCTAAAATGTGAATGTGATAAATACAAGTAGACACTAAATAATAGCTTTGGGATGTTTTTTATTTGCTTCATTTAGGGCGTAACAAGAACATGAAGCTGAGTGGGAGGCCTTATCGGCATATTGGTGTCCTGGGAACATCCAAATTATATATCATAAGAAACCAAATATTTACTTTTACCCCTCAGGTAATTTTGGAAATATCAAGAAGAACATTGGCTCTATCCTATTGCTCTACTCTAGTTTCTTTTGGAACTGATATTATAAAGATTGAACTGATAAAAAATCTTTGTTTAAGATGTTTAGAACTGTGTAGCGGAAGACAAAGTAGAATTACTGAGAAACTTTAACTTCCCCTTATAGAATTCTAGTTTTACCAATGACAGAAGCCTAAAAGGGAATAATAAATTAATACTACATAAGTTTTGTTGTTTGCTCTTGGGCTGCAGATTAAAAATTAGTGGAAAGTTTGTGAGTAAGGCTTAGAAATAGGTAATCCTCCTTTCATTTGATGAATAACTTCAATTTTATTTATTAGCACTTATGATATAATCTGGCCTGACAAGTGATTCTGGTTTGTGCATTAGGTATCAGGCTATTATCACCATTAATCAAAAAGAATAAAATGCCTGTCCATAATTAACTTTTTTGCCAACTTTTAATGCATAACTATGGTAAAGATAAAGAGTAATAAAAGGAACAGAATTAAATAATGTATACATTAATGTATCCTGTGCCTATATTTTGGCTAATAAATATGGAGAAGTATCAAGAATATTTTGTTCTGTTTGTAATTTATGAATGTTACACTTTATAGATTTTCTATATAGTATGCTCTAGTAATATCTTGCCAATTATTTGAAGTTTTATGATCATCTTAGAAATTTCATGAAGTGAAATTTTTTAAAACTAATACAACCATCAATAACACTAAACAGACAGATAATCCCACCAAGTTCAGGCAATGTTGGCATACTTCATGTAATATTGTACCTTATTTCTGGCTCTTAAGTATAGAAAAAATCATTGTTCTGAAATTATTTATATTTATAAATATTTATGTTTCACGCCATTTTGGAGATTATTTTAAATTGAGAAGGTAATGGTTTGTATGAGTGATAATCTCTAGTTCCATTCCCAAAATTCTTAAACTCTCATTAACATGAGCGACCCTCAAAACTAAACTGGTGATTTTGGAATCATGCCTTCCAGGTTCCAGTATCCTACCAGAAGTAGTGCATATGTATTGCTCAAACGTTTCTCCATCTTCGCTTAAGATTTACCTAGAAATAGGAAATTTTGAGGAATTCTGGTCCCAAATTCTAGCCCTTGTAGATTTACTATTCGACTATAATCCAAATGTTGATCTTACAGAATAACAGAATTGGAAGGGACCTTGAAGGTTTTCTAGTCCAATTATTGATCTTATTGTTATGGTAACTAGTATCAAAATAATCTTCAGGGAGAATTCCATATAAAATGCAGTGGACCAATTGTGAAGTTATCAAACGTTGAAAGCTTATAATTAGGCCATTGATGTTTAACTAAAGCATCAGTTCCAGTCTGGATTGATGAAAGCTGTGGCAGAGGCCATACATATTATAGCTATCAAAGTTACTGTTGAGAAGGGATTTCCTAAATCAGTCATATAAGTCTGATGCTAATATATACTCTGTCTAGCAGTGTTGGAATAGTAATCCAACACATCTGGAAGACATCAGATTTGGGATTCCAACTCTAAATGCCTAATACTTTTAATTTGAATGTCCTTGTAGTTTACAGATCAGCATCACTTCTACTTGGCTTTAGACAATCGGATGATTGTGGAGATGCTACGAACTGAATTGGCTTATCTAACTTCCTGTTGGCGAATGACTGGAAGACCAACTCTTACTTTCCCAATCACCAGTACAATGCTTGGTCAGTAAGAAAACTTATTTGGTATTTTTATAAAAGTTTAAACCCATATGTAATATTAGCATTTTGATTTCAAGTGTCCTACTTGTTGATTTACTATTGAAAATAAATTCAGTTTTGTTATGTGTTGCTGTTAGCCTAGCTTTCTTAAGAAGAAACAGTTTAAAATAATAGAATTCACAGAAATAAAATACTCATTGCAAATAATTTAGCATAATCCTATGTCTTGCAATATGTCTTGCAAGACAATAAGTGCATTATTGTCTTCTTGACAAAGGACTAGGAAAACAGGATTTTCTTCATCAAAACAAAGAGGCAATATGATTTGCTTCAGGAAAGACTTTGTTGCCTTAAAATATTCTCTTCTTTGGTACTGAAAAAGTTTGAAAAAGCATTTATACTTTCTGATTTCACAACATAACACAGCATTTGGATTTTGACAAGGCTAGAGGAGAGAGCTGAATGTTTTTTTCATCTGCATTGAATGAAGCCAGATTAAAACTCTGTTGTGTGCTGGAGGAAAATGTAGGAAGAGTTGCTGATCTCCCAGCATGTCCTTTAGTGTTCTCCAGCAGTGCTCATCAAAGCCAGATGAGGCTTCTATGCAGGTGATGTGCGTGTGCAAAAACCTCCTTTGGTTTTCCCAAGAAGATTTCTGCAATGCTTTAAAGGGTGCTTTGTTTTAACAAAGATAAGACAAAGATATTCCTTCATATCACAATATCCTTATTCCTAAGAGCAAAGGGAAAATATAATATTGCTTTAGTTTGCAGTCCTTGTTCAGCATCTTTGGCATTTGGGAAAGGCAGCATATTTCATAAGATAATTTAGTACATGCTATGTGAAGAAATAGTTATCTTTTAAATCATCTACTAGTCATTTTCATTGGGCGGCTTCGTTCCAGTATTATGAGTGATGTAGAAAAATGTCACCATTTTCTTATAATGCATAATTTTATAATATCTCCTTATAAGTGTCTTTTCTCTAAACTAAGCAGTCCCAGCTGTTGCATCCTGTCCCTATACTGTATATCGGCTGCCTGATTATCTTAATTGCTTTCTTCACCTTCTCCAATTCCACAATATTCCTTTTGATAATCAGAAACTTATTGATAACCAGAAGCATACTATCAGATGTCTGGTGGCACCATTTCCAATTAACACACTTTATTAAAAGCTACAAGGTTTTGTGACTATAGGTCATTTCTATAGCTCATGAAAGCTGTGGCTTTTAATAAAATTTGTTAGTCGGAAAGGTGCTGCCAGATTCCTGATCATCTTGGTACCATAGGCTAATATGGCTGGCCTCCTATAATATCAGAAACATATATGGTACTCTAGATGTGTGTGTGTGTGTGTGTGTGTGTGTGTGTGTGTGTGTGTGTGTGTG